TACAAATTAAGGCATTTTCTTTTTTTTGGTACCCTCAATCCTCGAGCCAACACCAACAACCCCCCGAAGGTATGAACTCTCCAAAACCTATATTCTCGCTCTCAAAGTTAGCGGCGGACCGGAAAATCGCCCATGCACGCCTTTGTTGCGCGTGGTGGGATGGGACCCCGGTCCGACGCCTACGATGGGGCGAGTAATCACCTTAAACTCAAAACCCTACTTCAATGTTCGTGGCGGACCGGAAAACCGACAATGCACGACTTTGTTGCGCGTGGTGGGATGGGATCCCGGTGCGGCACCTATGGCGAGGTGGGGTCACTCATAAGTACCCCCGAGCGGGGGCAAAGCAAACTTAAAAAAAAAAACTTTTTAAAACCCCATGCACGCCTTTGTTGGCGTGCATTTGTTGACATGGTGGATGAAAAAATAAAAAACACCACCGCGGTGTCTCACAAACACCAACCGTACACGTCTTTGTTGACATGGCGGGTAGGCGGCTTCTTGGTTTTTCCCCTAAATGGGGGCTACGTCGCGAGGCTGCCGAATTTTTGTCCAAAAGGACAAGGACTTAAATAAACTTGGACTTGGACTTAAATAAACTTGGACAAGGACTTAAGTGAACTTAAACACAAATGAACTTAATTCAAGGGAACTTGAAATTGACTTGGACTCATATTTGAACTTATTTACACATCAAGTGGATATGACTTGAACTTACAAAATAAGCAAGGACATGAAGGGGACTTTGATTTGGGCTTGAACGATAGAACAAAGAGCTTGGACTCAAATGAGCTACTAAAGAGGTTCATGAACTTAAACTTAAATCAAGTGAAGAAGAACTTGCAAACTTTTGAACAATAGATGACTTGCACTTCATATGACAATGAAGAAGACTCATTCTGGACTTGGTCTTAAGCTCAAGTCGAAACCGGACTTTGAATTAATGATCTAAATCTTAACCTAAACTAAAGTCTAATGTTTGGAATTGAAAGTCATAAGTCATGAAAATGATGAAATCAAAGGTAAGCAAATGAATGAAGACTAAGTCTTTAAGAGATATATAAGCAAGAAATGATGAGGTGGAATTATCTCGAATCGTTCAAGCAAATCAATCTACATGCAAACAAGAATTTAATGAAAAGGCAATCAAATAGCAAACGATCATCATCCAAGTACCAATCTACATTCATGCTCACCAAATTGAGATCAAATGAAAGATGTATGTTCAATAAGAATCACCAATTGGGGCAAGGAGTGATCAAACTAAACTGACTCAAGCTCTCCAATCAAGTTGATATCCATGCAATGATTGAACGAGGAATATGATAATGTGCCTCATGCAATGATATAAGACTTTTCATATACACAACCACTGGCTCGTGGATCAAAGTAGTGATGAACTATAAACCAAGATGTATTTGAAGTGTGTGAAACCAATATAGCTTGCATATGAACGATGCTATCCAATTGTAATCAACGACGATTAATAAATTACAAGGATTATGGGTTCCTTGCAAATACATATATATATATATATATTTAGCATCAAGATACAAGAAAATACAAAAGACCATCATTCAATAGTCAACAAATATGCCAGTCCATTTCAAGTAAAGGAGAACGATACACATCAAATACAAACATTCATAGGTTGTCGTAAGAAGATCTGCTGCATATATTAGATGCTGCCTACGAGCAAATGTAGGGGAAAAATGGCAAATGCGAACGCTTATGGACAATGCCAAGAGATTTGCACTCAATGTTCACGTACAAATAGGCACATCAAATCATGCAAGTAATGACAAGCAAAGACTGTATATCTGCCATATATATACAAGACATCTACACACCTGCATGCTGTCATAGTAGAGGGCAATGAATGATAAGACACCTTCATGACCAGTCACAAGTAAAATGCCAAAGGGTTATAGTAAAAGCAAGCACCTACAGATTAAAACAGGAGATTCCTTAGTGCACTATGATCCACCTGCAGAAAGCAACAAGTAGTGCACGACAGTCTACCTGTACAAAGCAGCGAACAATTCTATTCAGAAGCTGCTACACCACGCCACCGGATCTGCAACTTCTATGCAAGCGGACAAAAAGCGTCTACAAATACTTTCAAAGTACCCCCGCACGTGCACCGTAGTTTGTATATACATAGGTACACTAGAAGGGGTAAAAGCAATCATAAAACTAACATGGGCCCCGACGAGCATGTTATTGGTACACACGTGACGTCTAGGGATGCTACGCGGGTTATTAAATTTACCCGATCCTCTTTAACATGTAAAAAGGAGTCGACAGAGTTTAATTATAAAATGCCCCCAAACACCCGCATGGGCCCCGGCGAGCGTGTTGTGCAAACACACGTGACGTCTAGGGATGCTGTGCGGGTCAATAAGTGAATTCAAGTTCGAACCCGATCCTTCTATACGGATCAATAAGAGTCGACAGGGTTCAAATCATTAAGCAAATATAAGGTTATGGCAACTAGTATATTTGTTTTAAGGCATTCATATTAGGCCTTCAAGGTCTATAACAGTATGAATTCACTCACAAGGGCATAAAACCTACGAAATTCGATCCTCTGTCGATAACTCGATAGGGTCGACAAGATTCAATCAACGAATGGAAATGACCCCACACCTCGTGACGACCGTGTTGAATGCAAATCTCAACCGAAGGGGTCCATTCCAAACACTTTCAAATGCTTTACAAGCTCCACCCAAAAATCCAAAATCCCACAATTTTCCAAAACCCCAAAACTCCATACAAATACCCATAAAATCCAAAAAATCCAAAATTCCCAAAATCCAAAAATATCTAAAATTTGAAATAAATACATCCATACTTAAAGCAAAATCCATCCACCCTCCGCAACAGTTTGCCGAGATGGACAAATTAAAATTTACTTCAGCTCAGATGGAGTTAATGCCTAGTCGAAAATATCACTAGGATCCATTCTCAAACAATCTCCTGCCAGTAAGGACATGGTACGTGTCCTCTAACTGGCAGTTTTGCCGCCAAATGGCACTGCAGGTAAACGATTATGACTCGGGAACCTCTGAACCGAGTGATTTTGCCGCCAAATGGCACCACGAAATACAGTTATGGCCACCGTTACGTTCCTTATTGGCATCAAATCCTTGAGATATGAATCAATAAGATATGATTGATATGGCACAAAGCCCTCTGTTAGCTAAGGTGGATTTAAATTTATCCCCTTAAGCAAATACCCATCCTAGGTCTACAAGATCCCCTTGGATGAAGCAACCCATGGCTGCCGACAAGGATCCTTCTGTCAGGTTGGGTCGACTACCTCCTCTGACTAAGTAGACCAGGATCACGATGGCCCGGGACGACGGAACCATGGGATCTTGATCGGGTCTATCATCCATTCCCCCACCATCCGCTTTAAGTGCAAGATGGTTGAATTTCTATTTTAAATATCAAACTTTTCAAATTTCCAAGCTTCTAAACAATTCCAAATTTCCAATGCTCATGCTACTACTATATGCCAGATAACACGTATCTCTATACGTATCTGATTGACGACTAGCCTTAATTGAAAGTTCTCTCTCGTTATCGGGAGGGGTAATTAACTATAGGGGCTTGTGCCTATAGGAAACCAAAACTCAGGTCATAAAGTCCTCGCAAAATGAGGGCGAAATCTCTGGGTAGTGTCTTATCTACAAACCCATCTGCCTTCCAAAATTTACCACGGAACTTATCCAGTTAAAACTCCCTCGACAAAAGAAAAAGCACAATCAGCGCGGCGGGGAGGCCGGGGCCAAATTTTCGGAGCCCACAGACTACCTTAAGGATGAAATTGTTTTACATTATGTATAAGAAGAGATTAAAAAAAATTAATTTGAGGTCAAAAGGATGATGAAGATCCTTTAGTTAATAATGGTGTGCCATTGGATGAGAAATGATTTGTGAATGATGAAAACAAAGCTACACAATCACAATTACAAGGTAAATATCCTAATGTTTACTTCTCTAATGGATGAAGGAATAAGGCCAATACAAGTTAAAACAAAAAACAAAAAAATAACATAACACATTGTTCTAAATTTTAATATAATAGAAATCAAAATCATCAATATAGTCATTATTTTAAATTTTAATAAATATTCTTTCTAATTTTTATTGATCGGAGAAGAGGAAGATTGTTAAGATTGGCGATGTTGAAAAAGATTGAGAGCATGTTCATACAACTAAGGATACGAGATGAGAGAAAACAATTAACTACAATGATGATTCTAATAAAGACCTTTTAAGTAATATGAGTGTTAAAAGACTTTTGAATACACAAATTACAATCTTCGACTATTTGTTTATAATGAATTGGGAGTGAGAGAGACTTATTATTTAATGCTTGCAGTATTGTAAGATTTTTTTATATTGCTTTAATATTTTACTTTGATTTTAGTATGTCACTTATTATTTCATATTTCTTATTAATTTTATATTTTAATTATGAGGTTTACACCTCAAAAATACCTTAGGCTTACGCCTCAAAACACAGAAAGAAAAAGCCCCAAATCCTGATTTCTCAAGTCCAAATCTTTATCCTAAGCAGTGTAGTATTACTAAACTTTTTTTATTTTCACATGCAATCTAAATCAACAAATCTGAATCTCCGTCAGTTTGACCAACGGATAGACGCAACAATACTAGTTAAGCTGCAATCTAGGTTGTCCTAATCTAACGATAACACCAAAACAGACAAATGCCCATATTAATAACATAAAATTTACTGAAAATATCCGCAAACCAAGTAGCCCCTAAAAGATTTCGTGAAATTCCAGGGTACCTAATGAATTTATATAAAGGTGATAATTAGACATACTTGGTAATACAGCTGACTCAAGCTAAGAATTTAAAGCTTCAACCTTCATCTTCGCCATAAGACAGAAGTACAATTTGCATCAACCAAATAATCAAGAGATGCCTAAAAAGCAAAGGATTGGGGATAGAGACACGCCACACACCTAATGAGATTCTTAGAGGTGATTCTCGGAGCCTTAATAGCAGCACCAATTAAACTGCTTCCAGTGATGTAGATTCCCCTGACATTGTAGAAGAAGAACGAAGAAAAAAAAATTATCACCGTTAAAAATTGCCGTAGGAAAGAGAGCTGAACACAAGAGAGAGGATAGGAGAACAAAATTGGTTACCAAGCAGCCCCAAGAACAGAAACGCCAATGGATATCGCAATACCGATCGATGCAAAGGTGTAGGGCGAGATCTGCGTCAAAGCCCGCGACCATGAGCTCGTCGTCGTCATCTTCAACAAAAAGCTGATCGCTGACGGAGGAATACTCCCTCGCACGAAAGGAACGATCAACTATTAGGGCTTATCCGGCGAGAACAATGAAGGAACTGACTCAAGCAGGATGTGGGAGAAGGTAGAGCGAATAAGAGATAAGGGGCTGTTTGGTATCGGATTTACAGCGGTATTTAAGTCGGATTTACGCTAAATCCAGCCAAACAGTTTTTGTGCGCACGTTAAATCCCGGGATTCAGTAAATCCCGGATTTACGGATTTACAGCTTAAATCCGGGATTTAGTAAATCCGAGGGGTAGCCGGATTTAGTAAATCCGAGCGGGATTTATCCGAATAGTAATTAAATATTAATATAATTAGATTAATTAATATAACTTAATATATCTATTATTAAATATATAATTAATTGTATAAATAATAATTAATGAGTAATTTATACTTAACATATTATTAACTATATAACACATTATATTTTTTATTTTTAATTATAAATTTATTTTTAACTTATAATTATCTTCTTCACATTTAAATGCCTAACTGTTATAAATTCTGAAATATATTACCAAACAGTTTTTTTGGATTTAACATTTGATATATCAAACAGTTTTCATGATTTAACATATTTCGGATTTATTAAATTCAGATTTACAGAATTTACTAAATCCCATTAAAATTAAATCCCACTTGTTGCCAAACAGCCCCTAATAGGCCGATCTCTTCGTATAATGCTCGATTTTACATGCGGCGCCTCCCGTAACTTTGCATTTTATGCGACTGCCTTAAGTTTGTGCGGGTACAGATATTTTGGAAGGCAGGCCCACGTAGTTGGGCCTCAACATTATTGGAGCCCAAAACCTCCAGCATAAGGAATAGAGGTTCTAGGGATACCTACTTTCCATAGAAGAATCATTATATATATACATATTTCATTAAAACATAATAAATTTTATGGCATATCAAAAATTTAAAGCATTAAAGATGGTTAAAATCATTAGTTAGATTCATTAAAATTTTGAAATAAATGATTTTGATAGTATGATATCATAATTTTAATTTGATGTATACAATATATTAATATCTAGTAATTAAATGTGTTAGACTTTATATGGATGATTTTGATGGTTTAAATTCATAAATAAATTATATTATTAATGATTCGTGGAATATTTGATGGTTGGTTAAAAATAAAGCCCTTCCATTAGGGGAAGGCCTTGGCTTGATGTAGTAAATATACATCATATAGATCACATTACAAGGTAATAGCCGGAAGAATCTAATGATATGAGAGCTGTTCTCAAGAGAGTGCGGGCCTAATATTTCAGCCAGAAGAATCGTAATTGGGCAACTAAAGTCGAAGAGACTGTTGTTTAGTAATAATGGTTGAAAGGATCTTATTTGGCATGCGACTAAGGTCAGAAAAATTATAGTCGGCGGACGACGATAGTCGAAAAGATCATAGTCTGTGGGTGACGGTGGTCGAAAGGATCATAGTCGACGAGCAACGGATGAACGGTAAAAGTCTAGCATCGGTCGGCGGATTGGTAAAAGTCTCGCGGTAGTCGATGAAAGTTCACTAGCGGTGGTGCCAGGGTGGAGCTTTAGCCTTAGAGCTCTTTTTTTCTTCCTCCAGTTCATATCCCCCTTCATGAGAAGATGGGGTCTATTTAAAAATTTTTGGAAGTGGCATGTTCTATAATAGATCGAGGGTATGTTGGGAGTGTTTCAATGAACATCCCATCTTGTTCCCTATTATTGTGGAGCATTTATCAAGCATTTGTGTGCTCGAATGATGTCATAATTAAGCAATTTTGGGCTCGTTGGATTCATCTCATTGAGTCGTTATTTTGATTTTAAGCATGTTACATTTGGAAATCATTTAGTCATCTAACTTATTATTTGAACCTTCCAAACATGCTTCGGGCCTTTGATTTGGATCCATTTTGGCTCGGATCATATTGAATTTGGTTTTGTTGGTTTCTTCTTCTCGAGACATTTAGTTCAACTATAAGCTTGATGAAATTGAAACTTGGATGACTCCAAATTTATTTTTGGAAGTTTAATATGAATATACTACAAAATTCATGCCCGATCAAGATAATTTTTTGGTGGTATATCAGTTGTCTCCCTATTTTCGGACGTTGAAGCATGTAGAGTCCGAATATATGTGTCGAATTATTTTAAATCGTTACAATTTCTAAATTCTAATTTTCAAATATTTACAAGGTGTGACCGTTCCCTTGGCATCAACAATGACCTCCCCTCAAGGCCATGAACCAAGTAAAATATCATTGATTATAAATTTAATCTGTCTTGATCAGAGCAAAAAATATTCAAAAATCATGCTCCAAAACTTTTGAAGTTGCTCAAAATTGATTGTAGAAGCTTCATTTTTCTCTAAAAGTGTTAAAATTGAGTTTGAAACATCATAAAACTATTTTGAGTACTTACAAAGTGTTAATTGGGGTATGCATAACTAAAAATCAAGCCTGAATAGGACTTGGTGGCTGCATCGGCCGACCAGCAACTAGCAGCCCGACAGTCCGCACATCTTGTGAGTGAATTGGGTGAATGACACCCTGCTTTGGTTTTTTTTTAACTATTTGGCCTTTGGCATTCTTTAGGCGGACTGATTGCCCGTTTGGCATTCCCCCTCTATTTAGGTGGCATAATGCCACATCTAATATATTATTATATTTTAATTAATTCTAGTACTTTAAAATTCCAATAAAAAAATTAGAAAATAAAAAAAAAGAAAATTTCTAAAATAATTTTAGAATTGATTTTTGATATCTCTCTCCACTTTCCTATAAAAGCCTCCTTAGGAAATGAAGGAGTGCACACTATGTTGTGCCAACCCAAGTTTTTCTTTAGATTGGCAACTCGGAGAATATTGGTGACAAGGCTAACCAACAATTTTGGAAATGAAAGATATTGTAACTTCTAGCAATTATCGGGAAATTGATGGAGTAACCAATGCATCCAAAGTTACCCTATCTATTTCTCATCAGAAAAATGATAAGAGAATCATCTAAAATAATTAAAGATGTGTTATCCATTGTTATTTCTGAGGCATTGGCGGTGATTCGTATGAAATTTTATCTTCCAACCGAAGTATTGATTATTGCTCTAAAACAATTTGACTGAGCACATGCTCCGCCATCGAGATTCATAATAGTGAACGAGATTACAATGCTTGCAGAATTGAGGTTCCCTCTAACTCATAAATTGCTTGATATTTTCAAGGAACGTGGCATTGCACTGCCTCAATTTTTGTGTAAAGCAATAATGATTATCGTAAGCTTGACTGCATTTCTTAGAGAATGTGGGGTGACACTAAAAATTAAGCACTTGTCTAGAATGTGCAAATTCACAAGTGATTCCCAAGGCCACTTCTCCTATCGAGGTAACAAAAAATGGTTGGATTTTTTGACACATGTTCCTTCTAAAAAATTGGCTAGTTCATTCTTTTTTGTGAAGAATGAGCTAGAGCTTTCAAAAAAAATGGTGGAAATTAAAAGAACTTTGCCAATCATCCCACATAAGAGAAGAATATATATTAAAAATCCTCAATTTTTTTTCATACAAAAAAATATTTCAACGGGAGTTATGTTTTATAATTAGTCGATATGTGGCAGAGGAGAAACTTTTTAAAGTTAGACTTTTTAATCAAACAGGAAGAACTCATGTGTCTAGCTTGAAGAAATCAGATTCAGGAAATGAATAATGGTGTTTTTAACTCATCATCCAAAAATCCTCGAGAAGGTGAAAAAGAAGCTATTTCTTCTTCCTTAAAGAAAAGAAAATTTAATGACATAATGCTCTTGCAAAAGGATGGGGATAGCTGTAGAGAAAATGTACATCCTGTGTCGACCATTATTATTCGTGTTGATTAAATCCTGAAATATGTTACCAAACAGTTTTTTCGGATTTAACAGGATTTAACATTTGGTATACCAAACAGTTTTCATGATTTAACACATTTCAGATTTACAGGATTTACTAAATCCCATTAAAATTAAATCCCACTTGTTGCCAAACAGTCCCTAAGAGGTCGATCTCTTTGTACAATGCTCGATTTTACATGCAGCGCCTCCTGTAACTTTGCATTTTATGGGACTGCCTTAAGTTTGTGCGGGTACAGATATTTTGGAAGAAAGGCCCACGTAGTTGGGCCTCAACATATTGGAGCCCAAAACCTCCAGCATAAGGAATAGAGGTTCTAGGGATACCTATTTTCCATAGAAGAATCATTATATATACATATTTCATTAAAACATAATAAATTTTATGGCATATCAAAATTTAAAGCATTAAAAATGGTTACATCATTTGTTAGATTCATTAAAAATTTTAAATAAATGATTTTGATAGTATGATATCAGAATTTTAATTTGATGTATACAATATATTAATATCTAGTAATTAAATGAGTTAGACTTTATATGGATGATTTTCATTGTTTAAATTCATAAATAAATTATATTATTAATGATTCATGGAATATTTGATGGTTGGTTACAAATAAGGCCCTTCTATTAGGAGAAGGCCTTGGCTTGATGTAGTAAATATACATCATATAGATCACATTACAAGGTGATAGCTGGAAGAATCTAGTGATATGAGAGTTGTTCTCAAGAGAGTGTGGGCCTAATATTTCAGCCAAAAGAATCGTAATTGGGAAACTAAGGTCGAAGAGACCGTTGTTTAGTAAAGGATCTAGAGCATCAGAGTTATGAAGAAGGTTTTGCTCGTGGTTTCCTAAAAGGAGTTCGCTTAATGTAGCAAAAAATTGGTGTTTCCATTGATGGATTGACTCTTAGCTAGACATCCTAGAACTGTCCTTCAGCTTCAGGTGATGATGATGAGAGCGAGTTGAGAAAAATGTCTTCAAGTGATAATGAAGATGTCTAAATATATGTAAAAACTTTAATTTTATAATATACTTTTGATACTGTCCTTCTATCTTAGAGATTTTTGTATGTTCATGAATATTTATCTTTATATAAAAAAACTTAAGTTCTTATGCATTTTCTATGTTTTAATTCATTGCCCCCTAGTTAGAGCAATGATAATAGACGAACTTATTCCTGATATAGCTTTGTGGTTTATAGATATATGAATCTTTCTAAGCTTTCAGTCTTCTAAAATTTTTATATATTT